ATTTCATAAAATCCATCTATGAAAAACCCACAGCGAATATCATCCTCAATGGGGAAAAGCTGAGAGCCTTTCCCTTAAGATCAGGAACACGACAAGGATGCCCACTCTTGCCACTCTTGTTCAACATAGTACTAGAAGTCCTGGCAACAGCAATCAGACAACAAAAAGAAATAAAAGGTATTCAAATTGGCAAAGAAGAAGTCAAACTTTCTCTCTTCGCAGATGGCATGATACTTTACGTGGAAAATCCAAAAGACTCCACCCCCAAATTACTAGAACTCATACAGCAATTCAGTAATGTGGCAGGATACAAAATCAATGCACAGATATCAGTTGCTTTCTTATACACTAACAGTGCAACTGTAGAAAGAGAAATTAGAGCATCGATTCCATTTACAATAGCACCAAAAACCATATGATACCTCAGAATAAACCTAACCAAAGAGGTAAAGGATCTATACTCTTGGAACTACAGAACACTCATGAAAGAAATTGAAGAAGACACAAAAAGATGAATAAATTTTCCATGCTCATGGATCGGAAGAATAAACATTGTTAAAATGTCTGTGCTGCCCAGAGCAATCAATACCTTCAGTGCCATCCCGATCAAAATTCCAATGACATTTTTCAAAGTGCTGGAACAAACAATCCTAATATTTGTATGGAATCAGAAAAGAACCCGAATCACCAAGGAAATGTTGAAAAAGAAAAAGCTGGGGGCATCATGCTGCCTGATTTCAAGCTATATTACAAAGCCGTGATCACCAATACAGCATGGTACTGGCACAAAGACAGACACATAGATCAATGGAACAGAATAGAGAGCCCAGATATGGACCCTCAACTCTATGGTCAAATAATCTTCGACAAAGCAGGAAAAAATATGCAATGGAAAAGACAGTCTGTTCAATAAATGGTGCTGGGAAAATTGGACAGCTATATAGAGAAGAATGAAACTCAGTCATTCTCTAACACCATATGCAAAGATAAACTCAAAATGGATGAAAGACCTCAATGTGAAGCAGGAATCCATCAAAATCCTAGAGGAGAACATAGGCAGTAACCTCTTTGACATCGGCCACAGCAACTTCCTTCGAGATAATCTCCAAAGGCAAGTGAAGTAAAAGCAAAGATAAACTTTTGGGACTTCACCAAGATAAAAAGCTTCTGCACAGCAAAGCAAACAGTCAACAAAACAAAGAAGCAACCCATAGAATGGGAGAAGATATTTGCAAATGACACTACAGACAAAGGGCTGGTATCCAAGATCTGTAAAGAACTTCTCAAACTCAACACCCGAAAAACAAATAATCAAGTCAAAAAATGGGCAGAAGACATGAACAGACACTTCTCCAAAGAAGACATACAAATGGCTAACAGACACATGAAAAAATGTTCGTCATCACTAGCTATCAGGGAAATTCAAATAAAAACCACATTGAGATACCACCTTACACCAGTTAGAATGACAAAATTTGGCAAGGCAAGAAACAACAAGTGTTCGAGAGGTTGTGGAGAAAGGGGAACCCTCTTACACTGTTGGTGGGAATGCAAGCTGGTACAGCCACTTTGGAAAACAGTGTGGAGGTGCCTCAAAAAAATTAAAACTAGAGCTACCCTATGACCCAGCAATTGCACTCCTTGGTATTTACCCCAAAGACACAGATGTAGTGAAAAGAAGGGCCATATGCACCCCAATGTTCATAGCAGCAACGTCCTCAATAGCCAAACTGTGGAAAGAGCCGAGATGCCCTTCAACAGACGAATGGATAAAGAAGATGTGGTCCATATAGACAATGGAATATTACTCAGCCATCAGAAAAGATGAATACCCAACTTTTACATCAACATGGATGGGACTGGAGGAGATTATGCTAAGTGAAATAAGTCAAGCAGAGAAAGTCAATTATCATATGGTTTCACTTATTTGTGGAACATAAGGAATAGAATGGAGGACATTAGGAGGAGGAAGGGAAAACTGAAGGGGGGAAAATTGGAGGGGGCGATGAACCTTGAGAGACTATGGACTCTGAGAAAGTGAGCATTTTAGAGGGGGGTAGGGGGATGGGTTAGCCCGGTGATGGATACTAAGGAGGGCACGTACTGCATGGAGCACTGGGTGTTACATGAAAACAATGAATCATGGAACACTACATCAAAAGCTAATGATGTACTGTATGGTGACTAACATAACATAATAAAAATAAAATTAAAGTAACCTGTTTAGAAGCGGTAGACTTTATGTAGTTCTTTTTTTAAGATTTTATTTATTTATTTGACAGAGAGAGAGAGAACATGAGCATAGAAGCAGGCAGAGCAGCAGACAGAATTAGGGGGAGAAGAAGACTCCCTGCTGAGCAGAGAGCCTGATATGGGGCTCAGTCCCAGCACCCTGGGATCATGACCTGAGCTGAAGGCAGACGCTTAACTGACTGAGCCACCCAGGTACCCCCAAGAGAAGTGCTAGACTTTATGTAGATTAGAATTAGGGACTTAATTGCAGAAATATACCATATGTCTGCACAATTTCTGTGGTTATTGGCTGATTAATGTATTCTTACAGAAAACATTATTGTATGTGTACTACATGGCAGGCAAGATACTTACCATATGTAGATCAACAATAGCAAATAAAAAGCAGTCACAAGACTCTGTTTAAATGGAAGTCTCCTACCAAAAAATAAATAAATAAATTGAAGTCTCCTTTGTTTATGAGATAATTACTAGATACTACTACTCTGACATTGTCACCTGATGTCTATTAGACTCAGACTTCCGTTATCTCTCCTAAAACCTGCTCTACCCACAGTCTTCTCCATGTCAGTTAATGGTAACTCCTTCCTTCTCGTAGTTTGGCACAAAAAATGTTGGAGTCATCCTTGACTTCTCTCTTTTTATTCACATTCTTCATCTTAAGTGCTATTCCTTTAAAACATATAAATAATCCAAACACTCCTTACTGTGTGCACTGCTGTCATGCTGGTACATCATCATCAGTTGAGTGGATTTCTGCAGGAACCCTTTGTATGTTCTTCCTGCTTAAAATAGTAACCATGGTGATCCTATTAAAGCACAAGTCAAATCATGTTACTCCTGCTCACTTTCCATTGTATCGTCCCCCCAAATTCCTCATTTCTCTCACAGTTTACTGTGAGAGTCAAGTCTTACAATGGCCTATTCTCACCTTTGTTGACTGCATCTCTCATTACTCATTCCTTCCCTGACTCACTCTACTCCAACCGCACTGGCTTCCTTATTGTTCCCTGTACACTCCAGGCAGGCTTTTACCTTAGGCTTTCACACTTGCTATTCTTTCCTGGCGTGATGTTCTTTTCCCAGATATCCAGTTCTGATTCGGTTGTCACAGTGTTTGAAGTACCTGTCCTGACTGCTATTGCTTCCCTCCCCCCACCCCCCCCCACCTCGGTCACCTGCTTCACCTCCTCCCTATTTTACCCCCATGGCACTTATCACCTTTGTATACTCTGCAGTTTACTTACCATGTGTATAGTTTGTCTCACTCACTAGAATGCCATATTTATAGGGGTGAGGATTTTTGTCTGCTTTGTTCACCATTTTATCCCTTGCACAGGAGAAGAGTGCCTTGTGCATAATAATGTTCAAATACTTGAATGAATGGTATTGTACAAGAGGACTCTTCCTCACAATATCACTAATAGAGATTAGTGAGAAAAAGACTATTGAAAACAAGCCTTTTTGTTATTGTCAATAGATTTGTGGGAGATCTTTTCTTTCTATGTGAACCAAAATATTGCCTTGCCCCCCCCCTTTTATTTTTTGTTACAGACAATTGACCTTTCTTTGTCTGTGGGTCAGTCTGTTAAAATCCTTCAAAACCCCACATTCAAAGACTTTTTTTTGTCAAATAGTAGTTAACAGTACAAAAATGTCTAGGCAGACTGCTTTCCATTTCCAAGAGCCAAGAGTCAGGACTATGTACTTCTCTGGAAAGTTTGGACCAGTTAGCAAAGAAGAGTGTAATATGTATATCCAGAACACAAAGTCTCACAGAAAGGATCTGTTTCTTAGGTTCCTTGGAAGTACGAAAGAGCCAACATAGACAGGGATGCCTCCTTAATAAGTATAATGCACCACAGTTTTCATTTCTGATGCTACTCTTGGCACCACTGCTCAAACTGTTGAAAGAGATTCTTTCAGGCACCAAATTCCCCTGATAAAATTTTAATGGGACTTGGATTTCTCAAAGATCCTTGGTGTAGATGTGGGTATGTTTCTCTCTGCTCTTCAAAAGTGAAAATAGGCAATGGGACTATCTGGATGTATTTTAGAGTTATTGAGTAAACCCATAACTAAAAAAACCCCAACAACATGTAGAACAAATCAAAATTGCATTTTTATAGATCTCACATGGATAGCTCAAGGTGGACAATTTCTAGAAGCCCATCTAGCCTTCCGAGTAGTAAGCATGGTTCTCAGGAGTTATCATAAGGTTTAAGCCTCAAACTGTAGCTAAAATTCTGCACTGTGCATTTTGCTTCTTGGTGGCTATCATGCATCCTCCCTGGAATGCCCATTCACGTTATTTTCACATGGCTCCCTGTATGTGATAGTGAGGGGAACATAAGAATGTTATCCTGTAGAGTGAAAAAGATTGGGGAAACATATAGCTAGTGTCAAATATTTGAGGAACTTTTATTATAGAAGGTAAATAAAACTGAATTTTGGATAGGACTAGATAATTTCTAAGGTCTTCTTACGATTTTATATATTAATGTAATTTATATGTTTGGAAGACATTTTCATGGAGGTATAATATAACCAAAATAGTGAATTATTATGTAGTAACTGAAATAATGTACTATATTTATTCTCATTTCTCTATTTTTTTCTCTCTGTTTTTTAGTAGTATATTTTCTGCCATTGTAAATATTCACTTCTTGTTGGTTGAGGACATGATTTAAAATTTCAAAATGAATAATCGCTATGACATAAGATCTTTTTCTTAATGTTTATTATAGAGGTTCCAGAAACTTTAGCAGTTGCAGTGCAGAGGACTTTGAGAAGTTAACTTTAAATAAAGGAGGAAACTGCCTTCTTAATATTCCAAAGCCTGATGAAGCCTATAGTGCTCCCTTCTGTGGTAATAAATTGGTGGATCCTGGGGAAGAGTGTGACTGTGGTACTCCAAAGGTCAGTTTAATTTTTGATTTTTGCTTTGTGAAGTTACCTCAGGATTTGGAAAAAATGGAATAGCTTGCTTTGGGCAACTGGCATAGGAGTTGGTGAAATTTAGTGGCAAATGAGGATTGGTATTTTGCTTGTGGGGATATATGCCTGGGATTGGTCATGTGTTCCTTCCCAGAATATAACTAATGGTGTCATCTGTTTTGACATCAAGGAAAGCACTGTGTTTATTCTTCTATTTTTTGCTACCTTCTGCCATTTCTGTTATGGTTATTAGGTCATTTATTTACTTTAAAGAACTAATCAGTTTTTCAGTTCGCTCTTTATTTGTAAGCTTCCACTGTTCCGGCACTACCATTGCAGAAATATTTGTTCAGTTGGACTCATTTTAATAATAAATTGAAGCTGATCCATTTTCCAGAGTCCTTCAGGAACAAAATTCTTGCTACTTAGGTTAGCATTCTCCCTTTATTCACCTTCAGTGTTGTGCCCATTGATCTCTGGCTCTGTCAGACCTGTTTTGCACACTTAGCACCTTAAGCCCATGCCCATCTTTGTTATTATTATTCTGTATCTTAGCCATTCTCCTCTCAAAGTGGCCTGTGTAAAAGTCCTTTTCTTCCTGGCCTTGCATTAAATTTTGAAGAAATTTGTTTAGTTGTGTTTAAGCTTGACCATATTCTTAATGTTTTCCACAAGTACTTCTTCTTCCATATCTGACCATATCTGACTTTTGCCAGATGACTTCATGCTCTAGAAAGACAGCATATATTTTATGATGTACTTGTGACGGGCCTTCATTAGACTGTTGCTGACTTTCAGGGACTTCTGCTAAATGTTTTGCGTGGTAAAATCCTCACAATAACCCTAAGAAGTTGATATTTTTCGTATTCTCATTTCAAATGACGAAAGTAAGGCCCTAACAAGGTTTAAATTAACGTTATACTCTTTGGGTGACCAGGCTCTTCTCCTTTCCAGGCATTCTCAGATCTTTCTTCTGTAAATATTATATATCTTTTGCTTTCTCCTAACTGTTCACTTCACTACCAAACTTGCTGAAATAGTCTATATTTGCATTTTGAACTTTCACACTACAGAATTACTCTTTAAGAAAGAATACCACTTCCGTCTCGAATACCACTTCCATCTCAAATACCACAGATTTTTTTTGGTACAAAAGTTTCAAATAGTAAGTACAAGCAAAGTTCCCTTTCATACCATTATTTCCTCCATAAATTTTTAAACTTCCTTCTACATTGGTAATCATTTTTATAAGTTTAGTGTGTTTCTTTTTAGACTTTGTACCTTTATACACACATATATAAAATGTACATTTGTAAATAGTTGGGTTTGTTTTAGGATTTTATTTTATTTTATTTTTTATTTTTTTAAAGATTTTATTTATTCATTTGAGACACAGAGATACAGAGAGAGAGAGAGAGAGAGCATGAGGAGGGGGAGAGGCGGAGGGGGAGAGGCAGAGGGAGAGGGAGAAGCAGGCTCCCTGCTGAGCCAGGAGCCCGATGTGGGGCTCGATCCCAGGACCCTGGGATCATGACCTGAGCCGAAGGCAGACGCTTAACCATCTGGGCCACCCAGGCGCCCCAGGATTTTATTTTATTTTTTTGCGTATCAGACTTAATATGTTGTATGTAGAGGTTTTGTTTTGTTTTGTTTTGTTTTCTATTAATATATCTTGGAGATTTTTCCATGTCATTACCCTATGTAGACATGATCTTTGAATCTGCTGATTAGTATTCCCATATAAGGATGTACTGGTATTCCCATTTAAGGATATACTATGATTTCTTGAACCATACTCTCATTAATGGACATTTACTTATTGTAATTAGTATTTTTCTGTTGCAAACAGTACCTCTTTGTGCACATCCCATGTATATATAGGCAGGTATGCAAGTATTTCTCTAAGATAATTACATAAGGGTAGAATTACTGAATTGAAGAGTATGTGTTTTTAAATTTTATTAGAGGCTATGAAATTTCCTACAAAAAGCCTGTGTCAATTTGCACTTCTACCAATAGTTTATTGTGGCATTTGGTGCCCCGCTACAGTATAGTCTTTCCAGGAAAGAATAATAAATATTTTCTTAAGAAGATATTGTTTCAGTTCTTAATCTTTTCATATGCTTATAGACTATGGCATATTTTTTTGTATGAATGACCATTTTATATCCCTTATCAATTTTTCTGTTGGGTTATTCATTCTTTTAAATTGATTTTTAGGAGCTCACGTATTGTGGGCAAAGTCCATTGTTTTGTATATGTTTTAATATTTCTCCTTTGTATCTTACAATTTAGCTTTTAAAAAATTAGTTAACTTTATCTTTTAGAGAAGTTTTAGGGTCACAGAAAGATTGAATGGAAAGTACCAAGAGTTCCCATATACCACCCCACACACAACCTCCCATACTGTCCACGTCCTGCAGCACAGTGGGACATTTGTTACAGTCGGTGACTACATTGACAAGTCATCATCACCCGAAGTTTCCATTAAGGTTCTCTCTTTTCTTCCCCCAGTCTTACTTTTTAATTATAATTTTTAATTCATTTCCATTTTGTGTTCTATCAGTTTTTTTCTAGTTTACATTTTTTCTTCTCTTTTCATTTCCTTTATTTATTTACTGTTCATTTATTTATTTATTTTTTAAGTTTTTATTGAAATTCCAGTTACCATACAGTGTAATATTAATTCCAGGTGTACCATATAGTGATTCAACACTTCCATACATCACCTGCTGCTCAGCATGCCAAGCACACTCCTTAATCCCCATCACCTATTTCACCCATCCCCTCCACACTCTTCCCTCTGATAACCATCAGTTTGTTCTCTATAGTTTTGAGTCTGTTTCTTGGTTTGCCTTAGGATTCACTCTTGACATTTAGCTTTTCATAGGATGTATTTTATTATACGGAAATTTGAAATTTAAATGAAGGAAAATTTATCAATTTTTTTCCTTAAGATTTAATGAATTTTGTATTTTGGCTCAGCTTGTAGTACTCTTATTTCAAGACTGTCATCATAGCCCCTCCATAATTTCTTTTAGCATTTTTGTAATTGAAAATGTTTATATTAGCTCTTTAGTTGAGGGGGGCCACGTGAAATAATCTAGGGCATTAACTTTTATCCACTAATGATCAGTTGTTATAAAACCATTTAAAATTGTACTTATAAACAAAATTCCTGTGTATATGGTCTGTTTCCTCGAAGCCATATGTCTTACATAGTGTTTTTGAAAACAATTTGGCAGCTTTATTAAAGTATAATTGAATACAGTGTTAAAGAAACCAAATTTGGACTTAGATAATGAAAGGCTTTATTCAGAATAAAGACTATTGTAATAGGGAGAATGCTCTGATCTCAGAAATCTGAAAGCATCTTAAAATGAAATAAGAAAAGGTTTTTCTTTTAAAGGGTCAAGGTGAGGGCAAGCTGATAAGCAGAATCTTTTAAGAGGAAGCTGGATAAGCAAGGGGAAATGACCAGTGAGGTCTGATATGAAAGTGTTCTGCTGTAGTCAGCTGATTTCCACGAATAGCTGATAGGAGGGAGGGGGTGGCACACTCCACTTTTTCTGTAGGGACAAGCAGAGCTCAGGGGCCTGTAGGAAAGAGAGAAGCTTTACTAAAAAACTAATAACTATGTTAGGACAGAGCAAAGAGTAAGAAATGTGCAATTGTGAAAACTTGGTCAACAATAAACTGCATATATTTGAAGTATATAAGTTGATACATTTTTGATACATGTATACTTGTGTGAAACCATCTTCATGATCAAGATAATAAACACGTCATTATCCCAAAAAGTTCTTTGTGACTCTTGGTACTCCCTTCTTTCCACAGCCCCCACCCCCACTTTTTAAAAAAGATTTTATTTATCCATTTGACAGAGGGAGAGTACAAGCTGGGGGAGTGACAGGCAGAGGGAAAGGGAGAAGCAGGCTCCCCGCTGAGCAGGGGGAGCCCGATATGGGACTCAATACCAGGACCCCAGGATCACGACCCGAGCCGAAGGCAATCGCCTAACCAGCTGAGTCACCCAGGCGCCCTTTCCATCCCTTTTTGTTCTCCCATCCTCAGGCAATCACTGATCTCCTTTCTGTCATTATACATTAGTGTGCATTTCCTAGAATTTCATGTAAGTGGAATGATTTTTTTTTTCTCTAGCTTCATTCCCTCCGCATAATTATTTTGAGATTCATCCATGTTTCTACTGTGTCAGTAGTTCATTCCTTTTTATTGCTGTTTATCATTGAGTAGTATGGACATGGTACCGTTGGTTTATCTTTTCATCTGTTCATGTACATTTGGGTTCTTTCCAGTTTTTGGCTATTAACACGTAAAGCTGCTGTATTGGAAGACTTGCATACAAGTCTTCATATGGACTTATGTTTTCATTTCTCTTGGATAAATACCTAGGAGTGGAATGACTGGGTCATATGTTAGGTGTATAACTTTTCGAGACATTTTCAAATTGTTTTCCAAAGTGTTTGTACCATTTTACATCCCCACTGTCAGTGTATGAGAGTTCTAGTTCTTTTACATCCTTGGCAACACTTCATATAGTCAGTCGTTCAGTTTAGCCATTCTCTGGAATGTGAAGTGGTACCTCATTGAGGTTTTAATTTGCATTTCCTTAGTGACTAGTGATGTTGAGCATGTTTTCATGTGCTTATTTGCCATTTGTATATCTTTTTTTGATGATGTGTCTGTTCACCTCTTTTCCCCATTTTGAAAATTAGATAGTTTTGGGAGTACTTCATATATTCTGGATATGAGTCCTTTATCCAGATTTGCAGATATTTTCTCCCAGTCTCTGGCTTACCTTTAATTACCTTAACAGTGTTTTTTGAAGACTAGAAGCTTTATATTTTGATGAAAGCCCATTTTACCAATTTATGCTTTTATGGGCTATGCTTTTTTGATGTTATATCTCAGGAATCTTTGTCTAATCTAAAGTTGCAAAGGTTTTCTCCTAGAAGCCTTCTAATTTTAGGGTTTATATTTAGGACTATGATCGATTTTGACTTAATTCTTTTGTATGGTACAAGGTTTAAATTAGAGTTCATTTATTTATTTATTTTTAAAATATTTTTATTTATTTATTTGATGCAGACAGAGAGGGGGGTGGCGCACAAGCAGGGAGAGAGGGAGAGGCAGACTCCCTGCTGAGCAGGGAGCCCAATTCAGGGCTCAGTCCCAGGACCCTGGGATCATGACCTGAGCCGAAGGCAGATGCTTAACTGACTGAACCACCCAGGTGTCCCTAGAGTTCATTTATTTTTACATTATTATTATGAAAAGATTATAAACTAATGGGAAGTTGCATAAACAGTGCGAAGAGCCCCATGTATTTTCACCAGTTTCTCCCAAAAGTGATATCTTATGTAGCTCTCATGCAATATAAAAACCAGGACACTGACATTGATGCATTAACTAGATCACAGACTTTATTCAGTTTTCACCATTTTTAACCACATTTGTGTATGCGTGTGTATGTGTAATTTTATCCCATTTATTGATTTATGTAAACACCACCTCAGTTAACACAGAGAACTGTTCTATCATCACACAATAAAACTCCCTGCTGCGACCTCTTTGTATTCATACCCACCCCCAACTCCAGCCCTGATCCCTTCCCCTGGCTACCTCTAAGCTGTTCTCTATCTGTAGTATTGCCATTTCAATAATGTCATATAAATGGAGTTTATATAAAATGGAGTATATATAAAATATATACTCTTTGAGACTGACTTTTTTCACTAAATGAAATGCTTTTTTTCACTAAATGAAATGCCTCACTAAATGAAATGCCTCAATCTAAAGTTGTTGTATGTATTACTATTTCATTCCTTTTTATGAGTATTGTTCCATTGGATGGATTTTACTACAGAGAACTTGGAATAATGTTTATGCTAGTGTTTCCACCAGCCTGGAGGTCCTGCCTGGAGTTTGTTTAACCATTGTTTAACCATGCAGAGTTTGCGTAATCATTCACCCATTAAAGGGCATTTGGGTTTTTTTCTCACATTTTGCTATTAGAAATAAAGCTGCTATCAATTGTATTCCACTATTTATCATCAAAGAAATAAAGAAAAATATGGTCTTCATGATTAAAGAGATAAAAAGTTTTAGAAAGAATGTAAATTATAATAAAGAACCAAATAGAAATTATAGAACTAAAAAGTCCAATAAATGAAAGTTTCACTGGATAGAATTAATAGCAGACTAATATGGCAGAAGAGTCAATGAACATGAAGCCGATCAAAAGAAATAATTCAATCTAAAGAACAAATAGAAAAGATAAAAGAAAAATGAGCAGAGAATCAGGGACACATAGGAGATATCAAATAGTCTAATGTAACTGTTAGTGAAATTTCAGGAGACTAAGAATGAAAGAAAAAATAAAAGAAATAATGGCTGAAAACCCCCCTAATTTAGGGAAAAACATTGACTTACAATTTCAAAACACCAAGTGAACCCATGCTAGAATCATTACAAAGAAAATTCACTTAGGTATACTGTAGTCAAAATGCTGATATAAAGGGAAAATAATGAAAGAAGCCAATAAAAAAACAGGGGAACAGAGATATGAATGGCAGCTGATTTTTTCCCTGAAACACTAAGGGCCAGAAGACAATAGAACAGCATATTTACAGTTCTCAATGGAAGAAACTGTCAACCTAGAATTCCAAAGTAGGACAAATATTCTTCAAAAATGAAAGAAAGCTTATTTCCTCGGCCCCCTCTCTTCCCCTCCTCCTTCTGTCCCCTGTCTTATTCTTTCCCCCTCCTTCTCCTCTCAAACAATTCAGACCTGAACACATTAGCTGGAACATAGAGGAGATGTCTCTGTGGGTGGGAGGTTGTGGGATTTGTGTGGGGGTTGTGATGGGGAGCCATGGAGGCTTAAAGTGAGGTGAGAGAAGCCAGGCAAGATAAAAAGAATGTCCACATAAGGTGAAGACACACCCATTAGATAAGTCAGACCTTGAGCATGAAGAGAAAGGCATTGATGGATGCTTAATTCTCCATGATAATTAAAGGAACTTATGACTGAATGTATCCTCCTCCTCCAAATTTATATGTTGAAGCCCTAGCCCCCAGGGTAGCTGTATCTGCAGATGGGGCCTCCAAGTAAGTAATTAAGGTGAATGCGGTCAGGATGGGGTCCTGATCTGACAGGGTTAGTGTTCTTAAGAGAAGAGATCCTGAAGAGCTTGCTTGCTCTGTCTCTGTCAGAACATCCACACTGAAGAGGGGCCGTGTGAGCACACAGCCAGAAGGCAACTGTCTGCAAGCTAGGAAGAAAGTCCTCGCCAAAAACCGAATTGGCTGGAACTTTGTTTGGACCGCTAGCCTGTAGAACTATGGATAGTAAAAGTATCTTCTTCTGGCAGTTCCAGCAGACAAAGAGGCATTCTCTGTATGATTTCAGTCCTTTGAAAGTTGTTGAACTTTAAATGGTTATAAATGAAGAGTCACTGATAACTTGAGAAGGATAGTAAGTGATTTTCCGGAGAGTAACTGCTATAGCCGAGTTAGTATATGTGCTGCCGAAGCGAGCACAGCTATAGCCCAGTTAGAAAAAAGATTTTAGATCTGAGATAGGACTTTGATTAATGAAAATTGATGACAGTGACTCCTTTCCTTATTGACAGTTATTTTCTTTTCACAGGAGTGTGAATCTGACCCTTGTTGTGAAGGAAGTACTTGTAAACTTAAATCATCTGCCGAATGTGCATATGGTGACTGTTGTAAAGACTGTTGGGTAAGTGTCATGAGCACACTATGAAGGCGCACACACGATCTGTGTCTTTCCACAATGTCAGCTTTATTCAGTCCTAAAGCAAAGTTAAATCACAATTAGAAAGCAGGTTTCAGGATTCCAAACTCAGTGACAATCAATTGATCATGTGATTGAACTTGGCTTCTTACAAAGCATCCAGAGCAGGAGAGAAGACAAGCCACACAACGAACAAGATAACAGAAGGGTGCAGGAAATTCACAAACCAAATTTGAAGTCAGTCTGTGGGCGTGTGGTTGAGGTAAGGCCTCGGTCTGGTCCGGGTCAGCTCTCTGCACTCAATGCTTCTGATGTTCTAGCGGTGAAGACTCTTGGTTCTGTTCAGAGATCCCGGAGATCAATGGGGCAGAGCCTTCTGTGGCAATTGCCTTTTTTAAGTCAGACAAAGAGGGGTCAGGTCTGAAGAGTTTGACAGTTTTCTGCCAAAATTCTTCCCTTTTTAACTCAGTTTTGGGTCTCTGCAGACCTCCTCTGGTTCTTCGTGATCAGTTCTGGGGTGTCGGCTGACGTGGGTCCCAGTGATACCTCCTAGCTGCAGTAACTGAACTGCTCACGTCATTGCATGACATAGTCTCCTGCTTGACGTGAGAGACTCCATTTTGCTCTCTACATTCCACTCCATGATTCCTCATGGCAAATTCTGTAAGGGCCATGCAGGAATCAAGTATGTCTTACAGCAGGATGGCAGTAGTAGTTTGGTAACATAGCAAAAGGTACTTTTAGGTTATTTAATCAAGTTTTCAATAGAAATCAAACAAAATCAGTTAAATTCAAACCATATAAGATAAAGATCACATCAAATCCAAACAAGATAGACATATTAAAATGAATCAAGCAAACACAAAAACTCCCAACTCAAAGTCACATCTAATTGAATAAAGTCAAACAAAAAGAAGACAATAAAAAAAATACATATGGAATCTTCAGCATAGGCTCTTGGTGTATCCAAAAAAGAATGGCGAGGGTATGGTTAATCATAGTCTTTCTGTGATTTTTTTCTTTTTAAGTTTAAGAGTGCATAACATTCTAATAGCATATTTAATAAGATATATAGCAAAAATGATAACTAAAAGGACTTCCTTAATGGATTCCCAAACATGTGTAGAGATAATTCCATCCCATCTTTAGGTATTTTAAAGGGTTATAGTCAGACCAGAAGCCAAAACAAACCACCTGTTTGAAGGGTTTTGCTAACAATTCTAGAAAGGAACATTTATTATGTAAGTTTTCTATGTCTTTGTTTAATGCAGCTAAGTTAGTATTAGTGACGGCTGAAGCTGCATGAATGGCCTGCATAGCATTTTTAAAGTGGGTTAGCTTGTTGGTTAAGGTTTTATGGGCTGCTTTGAGTCCTTCCATGTTTTCATCCAAAAGTTTATCAATTTTGTCAGTTTTAACCCAAGGTATTTCTGTTATTTTATATGGTAAGATGTTGGAAGATCTTTGTATGAATATTCTGAGATGTAGGTACCCATTTTGGCAACATTATTACATGTTACATTAATAGCATACAGTATTTTAATACATTCATTGTTTATGGTGATAGTAGTATCCTTCATTTTAGTATGATTGAAGAATTTAACCTCTGAATAATCATTAGCACAAATTATCCAGTTAAAGTGTCCCATGTTCAAAAATAACTTTTCAGTGGATGTTCTTGTTAAAGGAAAAAGATCAGCATTGATTTCCAATTCATGCCAGGTATAGTACATGTTATGAGATCACTGAAATACCATTTCTTTGGGTAATAATATCCATCCATCCACAGGGGTGTATGTGTTACCGGAGTGCAGTATTACCATGTATTTGTTGTGGCACAGCATGTGAGTCATATACTAGTAGGCTTTGACCTCCTAATACTCTTTTTTTTTTAAAGTTTTATTTTATTATGTTAGTCACCATACATTACATCATTAGTTTTAGATGAAGTGTTCCATGATTCATTGTTTGTGTATAATACCCAGTGCTCCATGAAGAACGTGCCCTCTTTAATACCCATCACCAGGCTAACCCATCCCCCCACCCCTCCCCTCTAGAACCCTCAGTTTGTTTCTCAGAGTCCATAGTCTCTCATGGTTCGTCTCCTGCTCCGATTTCCCGCCCTTCATTTTGCCTTCCTGCTATCTTTTTTTTTTTTAACATATACTGCATTATTTGTTTCAGAGGTACAGATCTGTGATTCAACAGTCTTGCAAAATTCACAGCACTCACCATAGCACATACCCTCCCCAATGTCTATCACCCAGCCACCCCATCCCTCCCACCCCCCACCACTCCAGCAACCTTCAGTTTGTTCCCTGAGATTAAGAATTCTTCATATCATTGAGATCATATGATACTTGTCTTTCTCTGATTGACTTATTTCGCTTAGCATAATACCCTCTAGTTCTATCCACGTTGTTGCAAATGGCAAGATTTCATTTTTTTTGATGGCTGCATAATATTCCATTGTATATATATACCATATCTTCTTTATCCATTCATCTGTTGATGGATCTCTTGGCTCTTTCCACAGTTTGGCTATTGTGGACTTCACTGATGTAAATATTGGGGTGCACGTACCCCTTCGGATACATTTGTATCTTTGACCTCCTAATACTCTTAACAATGAAAGTTTACATTGCCCTCTATTGTCACAACCTGAAGGTCTCGAGGTGTATAATTGTAAAGGAGATTCAGTCCAGTCAGAAGAATACATTTTTCCTGTTGCTGTAATGTTTTTAATATCATTCCATGCTCTCTCAAGAAGGTTATTGATTCTGTAGCAATTATTTTTTAATTGTTCATTCAAATAAAAATTTCTCAGATTAAGTAAATTTTTTTGCAGGGCCTGAACCTTATGGTTGATATTATAATTAAATTCCAGTTGGTATGCATGATCTATGGACAATAGAATGTAATTCTTTAAATGCTGAGGAAATTTTGGAACCTAAGTTTTCTACTGCGTTATTTAAGGGGTTCACATGTTTTTTAAATGCAAATAATTCTTGCTTAATAGTTTGGATTTCTGCTTCCTGAATTGCAGAGATAATTAAGTTAGAGATGATGCCTAGTCCTACCAGGAATTATAAAGGTTTTCTAAGTCTAATTTTGTCAGGGGGTGGTAGGTCAGGTAATGCATGGGAGGTTGTTAGCTATACAAATTGGTATAGATGAATTAGTTATATTCTCACAGATAGGGTGCTGTACTGACCATATATGTTCTACCCATTGTGCGTCTGATGGTTAGGTTAATGAGAAGTATTGTTGCATACCTGGATTGTCCTCCCAAGTTATAAGTGTCAAATCTAGATCATTGTCACGAGATTCTGGGAGGTCTGGTATGGTTGAGTCTGGTGATTGTTGCGTCTCTCTCTCTCCTAATGTAAAAAACCTTATTCTTTTAGTGCTGTCTTAATTAAGCAGATGGTATAATTAGCTAATTTTCTGCACTGTGGTTGGGTCTATTACCAATGTGGCAATTTCCGTTGTGGCAATAGGTGAAGTATCTGGTTAGTTCAACAAGACAAAGAATCAGGAGAATATTAATAATTATAAGTAATATTTGCCCAGCAGCATTATTGGCAGAAAACGAGATCAACACTGCATTTTTGTGTCCTAATTGATAATGTAAGTGTGCATGTATTAGACTTGTCTTATAATGACAAGTACAAAGTAAGCAGGGGCATAAAAATATATATCAGTTTTTTTTTCTAATCTGTAATAGAAAGCCCTTCTAGTATGTAATTTTTCTTCAGTGATTTTTAAGGTATGTCCATAGGAGAAAAGTCCTGGATATTCTTAAGTTGCAACTGTCCTTTAGCCCCTGTAGTCCGAGAAATGTTTCCGTGCCTGTGAGCAACAATGTCCTGTAATGAGGTGGAATTGTCCCTCAGTTTTGTTGCTGCTTTATATGTAAGTCGAAGCGGTGTCTATTGTTACCTCCCTTTTTTCTGTATCTGGGGCAGGGGTGTTTGACATCTTATGAGGACCATCTTTTTGTAACCTGTCTCTTTGATTTAGCAAAAAGCAAGCTATATCCAGGGCTTGTTAAGAACTTCCTTGTTTCGGGGCACCTGGGTGGCTCAGTCGTTAAGCGTCTGCCTTCGGCTCAGGTCATGATCCCAGGGTCCTGGGATCGAGCCCCACATCGGGCTCCCTGCTCGGCGGGAGGCCTGCTTCTCCCTCTCCCACTCCCCCTGCTTGTGTTCCCTCTCTCGCTGTGTCTCTCTCTGTCAAATAAATAAAATCTTAAAAAAAAAAAAAAAAAGAACTTCCTTGTTTCTCTTATCAATCGTAATTCTCTCTTTTTTTTTTTTTTTTTAAGATTTTTAATTTATTTATTTGACAGACAGATAGCGAGAGCAGGAACACAAGCAGGGGGAGTGGGAGAGGGAGAAGCAGGCTTCCCGCTGAGCAGGAAGCCCGATGCGGGTCTCGATCCCAGGACCCTGGGATCATGACCTGAGCCGAAGGCAGACGCTTAATGATTGAGCCACCCAGGCACCCCTCGTAATTCTCTTTTTAATAATCAGTTAAATCTCTTTGTATATCTAGCAGCTGTAGGATTGTAGGCTAGATGGTAATTCCATTGTAAGTCCCATAGATCACAGAGCTTTTTAACTGAGGTGGCTGTAAAGTGAGTTCCCTGATCACTTTCTACTCTTCCTGGTGCTCCAAAGTGAGCTGCCCATGACTATAGAGCCCTTATTGTTGCATGAGCTGAAGGGCTAGAGGCAGCCAGAGCTTATCCCTAAATCTGTATATATGTCTACCAGGGCAGAGGCATGTATCTGTGGATAGCTGTGATTTAAACGTCCTAGAAAGTCTGTTTGTATTGTAAAATTAAATGTGGTAGGCTTGTATGTATGTATCTGTTGATGCAGTGTACCTGTATTTACGTACCATCTGTTTACATGTGATGCATCCTTGTAATGCTCTTTTTTTCTCCTGCCAAGTAACTTTAAGATTTCTTTCAGTGAACC